GGCAGGCTGGAAATTCAGGTACGAGTGATGTTGCAGTCTTAAATACGAGTTTCATAGGGCTGCAGGCTGGAAGCTCAGGCAGGGTTTCTATGTTGCAGTCTTGAAGAATTTCTTCTACTTCAGGAAACCTCAGTCTTTGCTCTTAAGGCCTTCAACTGATTGGATGAGGCCCACCCCCGGATGAGTAATCGCCTTACTTAAAGTCAGCCAATTGTGGATGTTGACCGCATCTTCCAAATTCCATCCCAGCAACACCTGGACTGGTGTTTACCAAGACAGCCGAGCAACACAGCCTAGCCAGGTTGACAGAAAAATGTACCCATCACAGCTGGTCAGGGCCGAAACTCATGTTCAAGACCTGATCTGCGTGACTTCCAAAGCATCCGCCTTGGATTCCTCGCAGGGCACGGCGGGGAGATAAGAGACGGGCAGCTGGTCCTGCTGAAGGAATGAAATGTGGGCCTGGAGGACAGCAGTGGTCCGCGTAGGCGCTGTGCCCCCCCTCGCACTGGGCAACTGCTCCGTTGGCTAGGAGGTGCTTGGGTAGAGTGGGGAACCGTTTCCCCACAGAGTCTACACACCCCACGTGGGTGACAATGTGTACAACCCCCCCCCCCATTTTAATCAGTGAGTGACGGATTTAGAGCTTCCAGGACCCAGCCCTTCTTTGCTCAGAAATGCTGCCCCTATGGAAACAGTCCTTGTTTCTCTGTTGTCATTAGAAAACGGTAAACACTCCTCTTTCCCCAGGTCACGTCTTGNGCCTTTATAGGGGCAGCTATAGTCCCTATTCTTGCTGTTGGTCCTGGGGTCATTATTAATAGTTATCTTTCTCCTTTAGTACTTTCCTACACCCATCTCCCCACCCTCCACTCCACCCCTTGGCCAGCATGTCTGTTGGTTTAGGTTGCTGCCCTATTAGGTTGCAAAGATATGACATGCAGAACAGTAGTAGCAATTGGGGCTGTAGTTGATGAAGCTTACAGTAGCCCATTGTCATTTGCCATGGTAAATCTAGCTTTCCAGGGCACCATCTCCTGCATGCTTTACATCTTTGAGGGTGCCACTAAACTAAGCCATTTCACCTAGGATGTTGCATTGCCTTCTGAGTTACCATTTTGGCCAGAAGTGGGGAGGCAGCTTCACAGGCTTTTCTACCAAAATGGACATTATTTCATGAATCAGAGAATCATTATGAGAGTCTTTCAGCTTCTAAGTACTGTATGTACATTCTAAATATGTACTCAGGGGTCAGGGAATTGACCACAGGCTGTGGGTCAAAGACTCAAATGACGCACTCTTAGATGGTTGTAGGTGAGGACTCCATTTGTTACTTGGCATCTACTAAGTCCCAACTCTAGGAAATGGGCCATGATTGCATTTCAGATCCCCAAGTATTAGTATCAGCTCAGGTCATGTATGGAAGAGCCCCCAAAAGTGCTAGATATTTTGTAGGTCCCTTTGGCAAAGGATTGGAAAAATATTTCCTGAAGTTCAGGTCAAGTGTAGTGGGAGGCCTTGAGGTGAGCAAGCCTCTCAGATGCAGACAGGGCAGTGAGGGACTAGAGAAACTGCTTATAAAATGCTGAACAAAGAGGGCAAGACACAAGTCAGAAGAGATGTCAAACACTTTATTCTCTTGAAGCTGTTAGCTGAGTATGATTAGTGTTACCTCACATTCCCCGGCATGGGAGTGGGTTCCCTCTCTGTGATGGAATGGTGGGGGAGTTAGGAGTGAGTTGTTACTGAGTGATCAAAAAAATATTGCTCTGGCTCCTGCAATAGCTCTGACCCCCGTGGTGACCTCTGTCACCTAGGGCCAAATGTCTCCTTCTTGAGGGGTTTGCCTTTAAAAAATAGCCTTTCTTGCTGCCCATGTAGAAGTGAATCACAACAGTAGCTTTCCTGGGTCAGTTACCACTCCTGCACCAAAAACTACTTTAGTATAGGCTTGAGAATCTAAGCTCAGTGATGTGACATTTCCTTTGTCTCCTGTCCTTGAAGAACAGTTGAGGAGCCTGATGTATAGAGTTGCATGTGGCTTTAGAACTTTCAAACAAGTACATGGGAGGCAGAACAGGCCAAAAGACTCTATGGAAGGTTCCCTGAGGGGTTAGGCATAGGCTGGAAAAGGCCCTACCTCTCCAGATCCACCCTTCATCCTGCTCTGGGGCTCATCTTCTGGGCAGCCTCAACTTTCCCCTTGTCTTCTGGCTTTCAGTGGGGATTGGCCAAAGGAGCACTGGCAGGAGTTGGGGGCCAGGAAAAGAGTGAGACAGTGGAATTTTTTCACACAATCTCTCTGTGCCAGATCACTGGTTGCCTGTGAGTCCTTCTTCTACCATGGCCCTCAGCTCCTGTCCTGCAGCCACATCTAGAGCTAGTAGAGGCAGAGCTTCAACGTTTTTTCTGGGTTCCAGTAACCACTTCTTCCCCAGGTTCCTTCATGCCCAAGAGACAGTGGTGTTTCTCGTTCTTGCGTCACTCTTCCCTATTGGTTTCCTGTTACTCTGCCCCCTTTGCAAACAAATCCACCATTTGTTTGCATTTTCCTAAATTCTCCTGTGTGATTGTGCCATCTGTCATTGCTTGGACCTGACAGACAGACTCTGAAGATAAAGGCCCAAAGGACAGGTTGACCTGATTGTTTCACAGTCCAGAGCTGGGGTTGGCAATGGAAAACTTGCAGTTGGTTATGATACACTTTTCAGAACCAGCAGGCCCAGCAAAGACAAGCTCATGTGCAACGTGAAAATCAGAGAAGATTTTCATCAGGAAAAGTGTCATGAAAACTAGCAAAGATCTTAGCTTCCTGGCTACCCCTGCCCAGTGATGCAACTACTAATGAGGAAACCAACCAAAGTAATGCAACCAACTCCTGTTCTGGGAGCCATGGTGTCTGATAACCCCAAAGCCATATTGCAAAACCAAAATGAAAAAACTTCAAACACTTCAACTATCCAAATAAGTTCAAACTACTGAAAGGTTGAGTAAGGACAGAAGCCTTTCATCATTTAACAAAAAACATAGACCCAGTAAATAATGGTCTTAACCACAAATCACATAATCTGGACAGAGATCTGTCAGTTTTGGCTTAATCCCTCTCTGGCTTGGGGGACTGAGGTGGGACCTGCAGTCATGGGATATTTTACAGTGAGAAGAGGAAATGTCCAGGGTCTTCCCAGGAAAAACAATCCTGCCTTAGAGCCTTCATACTGACATAGATCCCTCCCTTTTTGTTACACGCACAGCGCTGTGTCTTGGCATGTAGTCAGTACTCAGACAATGTGTTTTGACTTGAGCAGTTTAGCTGCTTTCTCTTTCCCTTATTTTAGGCTGAATTAAGGCATTGGGCCTTGGGTGGCAGGGCTCAGCAGTGTCCAGTTTGAGGTTCCCTTACAGTTGTTACTGTGAGTGGTTCTCCCAGCCGTGGATCTAGAGGGTCATGGGTCTCTTCTGTATTTTCTGTCTTGAGTCCTAGGTGCTCTGGTTCCACAGCCTTCTGGGAAGGTCTTTCTGGTTTATGAGCTCTCCATTTTCCCCCCATGCATACACGAAATACACATTTACAAAGTTGAGATTCTACTATCAGGAGATTTTTATATAGCTTTTACAAAGCATTACATTATATGGAATTTCCCCACATCATTAAATGTTTTTGAAAATAAATTTTGAATGAATTAAAAATATTCAATTCCATGAATTTACCATCTAAACTTTGTTCCACTCTTAAGATTTCTTTTTCATTTAAAAAAAATTTCTTAAATATGGTTTAATACTCTTCTCCATTTCTGTACATCACAACATCAAGATTTTGTTGCTTAGGATCCCTCTGTAGAGGCTTTAGAGAGTGCAAAAACTATGGTTTTTACCCTTTCATAATGATGTGTTTTCAGGATTTCATTTTTTTATTATTAAAAATGCTGAGGTTAAACTCTTTATTTATAACTCTTTGTGTATATCTCTGATTATTTATTAAAGACAAATTCCTAGAAAGAGTTCATGCGATGGAAGGGGTTCACCATACCTTCAGAGAGGAGTGCTATCAGCTGCAGGCTCCTGTGTGTCTGTCCCTTTCCTGCCCTGTTTTCTCTCCTCCAGCCAGTCCCTCAGCTGGCAAGAGTTTGTGCTGTTCGGACTCTAGGATTTTGACTTCCTGCTGGTTTGGGTGTAGCCTTTTGTGGCAGGGTGTTGCTTATGCAGAATTTGTAATGCTGTCTCTCCTCTTATCTGCTCCAGGTATCTGTTTTGCAGCAATGAGTGAGAAGTAATCTACATCTCAGATTAAAGCCCTGCAGATGGTAGATCTTTTCTTACCGAGGTGGATCCTATATGGTACTAACTGCTTTTTCTATATCACATATCTAAACCATGTCCCATCCATCCCCCATCCCCCTAGGGGACATCTAACAATGCCTGGAGGTATTTTTTGTTGTCACTACTTGGTGGTGGAGGGGGTTGTTACGGGCATCAAGTGGGGAGAAGTCAGGGATGCTGTAAACATCGTACAACTTGCTTGCAATTCAAAATGTTGTTAGTGATTCTGAATACTCTTAAACTAAATCTTGGTATAGGGTTGATAATTAAGGCAAGGAAGAATCTGGTGTAATTTCTTGTTTAAGTTGGAAATATGGATCCTGTCTCTCAGGGAACCCCTTTCTCTTCTTTCTCTAGTTTTTTCTTTATTATTTTCTCTGTCTCTCTTTCACACACCTATACACCCACCTCTTAAAGCTTATACGCTGCCTGGGCTGGGTATCAGGTTGCTCTGTGCAGGGAGAAGAGAGCAGTAGAGGGAGAAGACACACACACATGTCTGGAACTTGAGTCTTTATCGAGGTTGATTGAGAGTTTTGTGACCTAGAGGAACCTTCTTGAGGATTAGGGGTGTGGCAAAACTTTAGCAGGAACCAGAAGCAACACTGTTCGGAGTATGTGGTACAGAAAAACCTGCTCAGGTCTGGTTCAGATTTCCTCTTGGGCTGGCCCAGACTCCAGGGTCAGTTCTCCTTCAGGACCTTATTGATCCAGGGCTGGTAATGGGAGATCCAGGTTAAGACAAAAGGGAGCTTCTCTTGTCCATAGGAGACAATGCCCTCGGCCACCCCAGAACACAGAAGAGGGCCACCTGAGTCTCCCTGTAGTGTGGGGTGGAAGAGAGAGAGCAGAAGGTGAGTCAGGGAAGTAATTCACTGCTGCTGGTGGGTTCCAACTGAGTCACAGTCAGACTTAGGGTTAGACCCAGGAGCCCTGGCTCCTCACGGAGTTATATGTCTTGGTCTGCTGCCCCTTCTTCTTTTCCTTATTGTTATCCTATTTAGCAGACCAAAGGGTGGTTAGAGACTGCACAGGGCCATGGGAGAATGGATCCATGGAGGGACAATTCCAGTTGCCTCAGCACTTTGATCTCAAACCCTATAATTTGTTGACAATCTTTTGACCCCATCTCACTCCAGGGGATACCTGGACCCTGAACAGTGATTTGTGGAAAAGAACCCTAGTCTAGGGATTACCTTAAATGCAGATTTTGTCTTTTTGGGATTGCCCATGCACAGCTGGAGACTGTGGTCAAAAGTTCTGAAGTGTCTGCAGGCCTGGGGATCCATGAGTCTCAGCTTCACCTCTTGCAGAGTGTTGGAGCCTGATTTCTCCACTTCTATTATTCCCCAGCCAGCCACTCGGCACATTCTCCCAGGTGGGTCGAAATTGAACTGGACAGAAGGGGGAATGTCCCCACCGCCAGGGTCAGGTTGGCTTTCTCATTCAACTGTGAAGGGAATGAGGGGCTGTCTGTGCTAGAGATGGGTTAGGATGCAGTTGGAAGCAATCAGGGAGGGAGAGAGCAGTTTGCTTCACAACAGAGCCACATCTAGTGTTGAGTTGGAGGGATGTGCAGTCCAGAGGCAGGTTGGGAAAATTTCAGGGCAATAGGGACCTGAAGGAGAAGCCTAAGAGAACAGAAAGTGAAGAAGGGGAAGAAAGATGTTGTCACCTTTAGTAACATGATGAGCAAGACTGTAATCAAATTTTGGATGAGGGAATTGTTTTGTGACCTCAAGCTTCTGCCATGTGTCTTCTTTCTTTGTTATGTTATGGGCTCCAAGGGTAACCATTATACGCCTGTTGTGAGGGAGAAGGAAAGTCAAGGAGAAGAGTGACAGTTTTGGGTTTCTCCTGAGATGTACCCTTTCTAAGATAAGGGGACTGGAGTCTCTCAGTAGGTCACAAGACTCTACCCACTCCCTCTTTCCTGGGCCACTGTGGTATTTAGGGGCTCAGGTTTTACTCAAGGAAGGCTTTTCCCAGGGAACAGAGACAATTTCTAAGACTCTTAGGAATTGCCGGGGACAGAGCAGGCCATGGAGGACCCAGGGGGCAGGGTTAGCACTTCCTAATTCAGGGAGTGCTATATGAGGGCCAGCCCTCTGGAGCAAGAGATATCAGAGAAAAGAAGTGGTGGGGTCTCAGGTGGACTCTGTTTCCTGCTTCCCATGGAAAGAATGGGTTCAGGTCCCTGAGAACTAAGGGCTAGTGTTCTTGGAAAGAACAGAGAGGAAGTGGCCCAGAGAACTGGGTAGGGCCCCAAGAAGTGAGTTGGGCATCTTATGTGCTGGGATTTGGGAGGGGAGAGCTACTTTTAGAGGAGAGATGCTTGGATGAGGTCTCCTATTCCTTAGTAGGTGAACTGAGTGCACAGTGATTGAGGATCAGGGCATCCATTCAATTATGAGAACAATTTCCTTAGTCCAATTCTTGCCTCTCCTTAAAGTGACCCAGACCCAGGAGCCGCTCTCAGGCGTGTCCCTAGTTGTTACCCTGGATGTTTATCTCCCAGTTGGAGATAAACAGGACCCTGTTGTCTCACCTTCCTGCACAGTGAGCAGCCGTCAGCACAAAGTTCCGTCTTATCAGGAAACCACCACAGTACACCACTTTATTCTGGGGAGTGACAATTTCCAGGTGGGCCATGTAGGAGCAGGAGTGAGGCTTGCATTCTGTGTTCCTGATAATCTCCCCTGGAACAGAGAATCACAGGCCTGAACACAGACATTGGTACTCTCTCCAGAGAATGCACAAGCTGGGTTAAAGCTCAGAGAGGCCTCCCTTGAATCTCATCCTTACCCTGTATTCTGCCCATCTTTCCTCTCAGGTGTCTCTAGTATCCACTTTCCCCAGGCACAACCTCCTACATGAATTCTCATCCCTTCCTTCAGGCACAGTAGCCAACCAGCCTTAGATGCCACTCAGGTATTTTCCACCTCAGATTTCCCCCACTCCCATTCTGCCCCTGTCTCAACCCTCCTCTGTCACCTTGCAGGACAAGCTCTATAGGTTTCTGTCTTGACCTCCTCCACAGCCCATGAGCTGTGTCACAAGAGGGCCAAATTATAAGGTAATGTGTAGCCCCATAGCTCAGAAGGTGAAGAGAACATAAGACTTTATACACATGATCACACATGTTAGAGAAGATACCGCTTTTCCTCCCAACTGCTCTGGAGTGTTCCTCAGTCAATAGAGGGTTCCTTGTTCCTGGAACTACCATAGGCTGCAGAGAATGGGTGGGTGCATCCCAAGAGGAAACATCACTCTGGACCCTTGAGAGATCCTGCCCCTCTCCTGTTTAAGAGTCAGCTATATTCAGACAAAACTTTGTTTTAGGAGCTGATCCTGAAACTTCCAGAGGGGAAGACCCTCAGACTCATCAGCTTCAGATCTGGAGCATAGAAGGAAGAACAGCAGGGGGAGAGGAAGATGACCCATTTTCTCAGAGAGGCTGCCCATGGCAGGTGCTGCTTCTGTTTTCCAGTTATGAGCTTTAGAACTTCGAGCAAGAGAAGAAGGGGCAGGGCTGGTAACCACAGGAACTGGTGGTCATGTTTTATTCTCTCATTCTAAGCTGGCTTGCTTTTTGATCAGAAGTTCCCCCAGAGTTGCCCTTTGTTTTGCTAAAGGTGAAGTTGAAGCCAGAACTCTGAAGTCCTGGCTTCCAGGATGAACTCTCCACCATGGTGCCTTATCTGGAGTGGGTTGGGTGGGATCATGTCTTTCCCAGTTAGGGCAGTTTGTTAGAGGCCTTTCAGAAGCATCGGTAAGGGAGATTTATTACACTGAGCATTCAGAAGCATATTTACTTTTATGGCTCTAGCCTGTAGTAGGAAATGCATTTTGCAAAAAGACTCAATGCCATGCATGTTTTGTGTGAGTACATGAGCACAAACATACACACGGGCTCTAGCTGGTTTGGCTCAGTGGTTAGAGTGTCAGTCCACAGACTGAAGAGTCCAAGGTTCGATTCTGGCCAAGGGTGTGTACCTGGGTTGCAGGCTCAATCCCCGACCCCAGTGGGGGCAGGTCAGGAGGCAACCAGTAGATCTGTCTCTCTTACATTGATGTCTCTCTCTTCTCTCTCCCCCTTCCACTCTCTCTGAAAAGCAATGGAGAAAATATCCTTGGGTGAGAATTAAAAAACAAACAACAGACAAACAAACAAAAACATACACATGAGTCAAAAGTTTCAGGAAACAATATTTATTTTTATCATGTACAGTGCTCTGTTTCCATTCCATTCCATTCCATTCCATTCCATTCCATTCCATTCCATTCCATCCATCCCATTCCCATTCTATTCCATTCCATGTTAAAATGTGAGCTGTACCCACTTACAGGATTTTTGCCTGTAATTTGAGAAATGATCTGAAGCTCTTGCTTCCTCTGAATCAAATGTTCATTGGCAGAAGAAGAGAGAGGTCCAAGGAGAGTAGATGGGGGAAGGGAACATACCCTGTTTTAGGACTTTACATACATTATCTCAAGAGCAAATGGGATTGGAATTAGCATTTTTTGAGAGCCTATGCATATCATTTATTGTCATTACTCTTTGATATATTTTCATCACAATCCAGTGAAGTAGGTATTACTATTTTAATTTTATGTATCTACTACCCAGGCTTATGGTTCAGAATTAGACTTTCCTGATTCCAAGTTAAGGCCCCTTTCTGCTCTACCATCAAAGGGAAATAGAGAAGTTGAGTCCTGCCAGTGGGGATGTAGATGTAGAAGGATGTTTGCTTTTGGGGGGCTGGGGTTTTCTACTCTTCCATTAGGAATCTAGTTAATTTTTTTGAAAAAGAATACAGATGTCAGTATCTGAGTTTTTTTCTGTAACAACCTTGGGAAATACCATTACTGTCACTTTATAGATGTAGAATTGAGACTCGGACACATACACATGACCAAGATGACACAAGTCATAACTATCATAACTGGGTTTCAATGGGAGGGAATGACCTTCAGGTTGTTTGGTTGTGAGAACTGGCTGTGACTACAGTGAAGGAGCTGTTGTGCCCGGGCCGACCCTACAGAGCAGAACTCACTTTAGCAGGGCCCTGGTGCCTGCAAAATCTGTGCTTTGAATGTGTCATTTGTGGAGATGGTTGGGTAGTGCGCCGGTGTGGTTTGAAGCTGGCCACCAGGTGGTGTTGGTTCTGGGGTTCCTTGGGAGGTGCAGGCCAACGTCAGCTGCTGCCTGTGCCCTGCCTGGGCCACTTGGTATGAGCTACAGAGTGATTTTCGTATGGCTGCCACTTGTGCTGGGATTTGATGGAGGTCTCCGGAAGAGGCTAAGCTGTGAACTGAGGCTGGGTCCCTCTAGTGTAGGTCTTGGGGCTGCTTAGCAAGAGGTGTGGGTCATGCGGAGGCCAGGTGATGCTTGTTTGGGTTCATGAAACACTGAGAGATTTTAGGGAAGTCCACAGCATGAGCCAAGACAGGTTGTTTGTATAGAAAAGTCACTGGAAGTGGCTTGGGTGGATCTACAAGTTGAATGGGGCAGGGCCTCAGGGAATCACCAAGGTTGGGAGAACAATGTGGGCTTGGTTGAAGGAGACTCAGGTATGGCGCCTGCCTATGCCTGCCGTGGAAGGAGTCAGCAAAGGAACAATGACCTCTGCCAGCACTTCTGCCAGCACAAAACTGCTCCTCCAGCCCTCACCCTGAAGCCAGACAATTCAGTTCCTTTCTGAGTGTCGCTGGTGCCTTTTGAGCTGCCACCCAGCGCTGGAGCTCAGAGTGAGTGAGTGCATCAGCAAGGAAGTTCGTGCACTGGCTGTTTAAGGGGGACTGTCTGGGCCCTGCTGGGTGTGGCTCAGCGCTTGAGCATCGACCTAGGATCCAGGTGATCGGGGTTCGATTCCCGGTCAGGGCACATGCTCAGGTTGTGGGCTCGATCAATGACTCTCTCATCATTGATGTTTCTATCTCCCTCTCTTCCTCTCCTTTCCTCTCTCTGAAATCAATAAAGATATATTTAAAAAAAAGAAAAAAAAAAGAGGGACTGTCTGGGATCTAGCAGCCCTCCCTCTCACTCAGACACCATCTAGCTAAATTTCACAGCCAGGGTTATGGGGACTTTTCTTTCAGGCACTGGAACCCAGGGGCATGGAGCTTGGTGTGGGGCTGGGACTCCTGGCTCCTCAGGGGAGACCTCCACAGTCCAGCTATCCCTCCTGATCTTTAACCACTACACGTGGGTGTGGGGCCAGCTCGTCTGCGTCTCTGCCCCTCCTACCACTCTCAAGGTGGTTTCTTCTTAGTTATGCGTTCTGTTCAGCTAGCCTGCAGGCAGTTCTCAATGACAGTTGTTCTGTAGTTTAGTTGTAATTTTGACGTGGTCATGGGGGGAGGTGAGTACAGTGTTTACCTACTCTGCCACCTTGACCCGAAGCCCCTGATATTTCTAGTTTCCACTTACTATCCCTGCACTAGGCAGGAAAGTCCTAGAGTGCCCCTTCTCATTAGTTTGGCAAAGCACAGTTTCTCCTGTAGACTCTGCAATGCTACCCGCCCCTCATCACTCTCAGCATCAGTCAGTTGGGCCCACTCCTTGGTTCATCATCTTGTGCACCTCAGAACTAACATTGTAGCCATGAGGGTCTTATCTTTGCAGGGTGGGCTGCAGGAGAGACAACTGTTATTTCCATCTTATATTCTTAGCTGCAAGAAGATTCCTTTGTTTACTGAATGGAAAATGCTGCCCAGCTGCAGATATGATTTTGGTAAGGCTGCTGGGGGAGAGTGAAGAGGCTAATTATGTGAAACTAATGAGATAGGAGGTGTAAAGATTCAAAAGTACAGGGTAGGGCCAACCCTCCAGGTGTAACTTGGGGAGTGTTGTTAATGCTTCTATCTAACTGTATTTGGGGGAGAAAATAAGTACAAGCTAGGTGGCTTAAAACAATAGAAATTTTCTCTCTCTGTCTGTAGACTGGAAGTCTCAGATCAAGGTGTCTGCAGAGTTGGTTCTTTCTGCAANGAGAAAATAAGCACTACAAGCTAGGTGGCTTAAAACAATAGAAATTTTCTCTCTCAGTCTAGAGACTGGAAGTCTCAGATCAAGGTGTCTGCAGAGTTGGTTCTTTCTGCAAGCTATGAAAAAGAATCTGTCCCATACCTCTCCCCTAGCTTCTGGTGGCAGTCCTTGGTGGTCCTTGGCCTGCAGATGCATCATTCAATCTCTGCCTTTGTCATCACATGGCCTTCTCCCTGTGTGCGTCTCTCTCCTTTTCTTATAAGGACACTACCCATACTGGATTAAGGACCCACTGGACTCCAGTTTGACCTCATCTTAACTCTGCAATGACCCCATTTCCAAATAAGGTCACATTCTGGGGCACTGGGACTTAAGACTTCAATATGATTTTTGGAGGGTCACAATACAACCCGCAACAACTCCTTCAGTATATACATGTGCCAAACCCCTGCATAGTGCATGACTATATGGGGGTAATAGTTGCCAGGGAAACTGTGGGTGCAGGAGGACAGCAGGCAGGGTAGGAGGGGAGGAGGAAATGCTTTCCTGTTGGGCTTTTGGACCTGGGCCCCAACCATCTTGGCCCCAGGAGCTAGTTGTTTAGCATTTATTTCCTGTTTGCCACCCTCAGCTGTCCCGAGGCCCTCTTCCCACGAGTTTGGGCAAAGCCCTCTTATCTGAACCATTTCTCCTGATGACCCTGTGATGGTGAGACTTTATCACTCTTGCTGTGGGTCAGGCGGGCACACTCTGTGGGCCTACCCTCTGCATGGCAGAACTAACACTGCAGTGACGATGATGTGCTTATCTTTTCTGGGTAACTGCTACCAACTGCTTTTTCCACACCAGGGGACCATATGATGCTTGTTTGGTCTTCTGTGGTGGCTGTGCTGGAGTCATTAATTTCTTGGGGTCCAATTCAGCCTGTGGGTTCAGGCAAGCTCCCCACAGTCTCCACTGTCCCTGCTACTTCTTGGGGGCCAGGCTGACATGACAGGCTTTTCTATACAAACAACCTGTCTTGGCTCATGCTGTGGACTTCCCTAAAATCTCTCAAAGTTGCATGAACCCAAACAAGCAGCACCTGGCCTCAGCATGACCCACACCTTTTGCTAAGCAGCCCCAAGACTGACACTAGAGCTGTTCTCCCTTCCCCCTCAGGACTGTGCCCTTTGGGGTATCTGGGGCTTCAGTGAGCTGAACCAGCCCCTTTCCTGTTGGGGGTTGTGCTCTTAGCCTGCAGGAGAGGTAGGCATGCTCTGCCCCTCCTTTCCCAGTTGAGGTTGGCTGATCTGAGAGGATGCTCATTTCAAACTCTCCACAATGCAGACTCAATGCTTTCACTGGCCTGTCTCCCCAGTGCAAGCCAGGAAGGTGGACACCTGATCAGCAATCAAAAACAAAAACCCACAAAGCAACACACAGGAAGAGAATCCTCTCTGTGAGGTCCCAGCACCTCCACACCTNCTGGCCT